AATATATTTGCTTGAGTGAGGGCCACTTTTTTGAATGAAGAAAATACAGATGAGTTCATGTACTTTGTGTTATTCTGATTACTCAAAGGTCCTTTTTTTCTGACTCACTAAGTCTGGGCCAGAGACTTAGAAATCTTCAATTTTAACATGCAACTTGAATGGTTCTGATGCAGCCGCTTGAGAATGTTAGGGGAACTAGAATAGGATGCTTACATGGTAACAGACTACAACACAACTAAGGGGATGTGGGCTACTACCAACAGTGAGGATGTGTTCTTTCTTTTCTTTTCTTTTTTGAGACGGAGTCTTGCTCCATTGCTGAGGCTGAAGTGCTGTGGTGCGATCTTGGCTCACTGCAACCTCTGTCTCCTGGGTTCAAGCAATTTTCCTGCCTCAGCCTCCTGGGTTCAAGCAATTCTCCTGCAAGCCTCCTGACTAGCTGGGATGACAGGTGCTTGCCACCATGCCCAGCTAATTTTTGTATTTTAGTAGAGACGGGGATTCACCAGTGTTCTTTGATTTCTAAATTTGCCCTAGTACTTCATAATGTTAAGTAATAAAACTCATCTGTTATTAGCGCAGTCACTTGATACGATGGTCTCATCACTGACATTCTCAGGGGTAAGGCAACTCTAGTACTGTAACTTCTTGCTGGCATTAAATTAAAAAATGTAAAATACACTTAGCAGAATCTGACTTTTTTGGATTTATATTATAAATCAATTCACAAGACTTTTGCACATATTTCAGTAAACAAACACGTTGATTCATCCACATGCAGCCAAGCAAATCTGAAGATCCTGAGTAAATACCCACAACGTTCCACAAAAGTAAAACTTCCAGCATCTTGCACTTATGTGTTTATTGCAGCACTATTCATAATAGCAAAGATATGAAATCAACCTAAGTGTCCATCAGCAGATGACTGAATAAAGAAAATGTGGTATATATACAATGAATTGTTACTCAGCCAATAAAAAAAAATGAAATCATGTCATTTGCAGCAAAATGGATGGATAGCCCTTACCTTAATAACAAGTCAGACATAGAAAGACAAATAGTACATCTTCTCACTTATAAATGGGAGCTAAATAATATGTATACATGGACACAGAGTCTGGAATGATAGACAATGGAGATTCCAAAGGGTGAGAAGGTGGGAGGGTGGTGGATGATGAGAGATTATTTAATGGGTATAATGTTTCATATATGGGTGATGGACACCCTAAAAGTCCCGACTTCACTACTATGCAATCTATGAATGGGATAAAACTATACTTGCACCCCATAAATTTATAGAAGTAAAAATAAACAAATAAACCCTCCCAAACCAAAATCTAATTATTAGTGCTAGCATTCCACTTTTCCAGCACAATTATGAGTGTAGAAGTGCTGAGACTACCTAATCTGGTGACAATCAGGAATTTGATGCTCCTGTTTTGTAGCGGTCAATGAATACAAGGGTAAAACGGTTTGAACCACATCGTCTCTGTCATGTAGTTGTTTTTCTGCTGTGGAATGAGATGTGTAATATGGCAACCGGAGAAAAGAATAAAACTTCTACATTATGCATGCATTGTTAGGCAGCTGGTAGGCACATAATGGACGGCTGAAATAATAACACACACATAAAACTAACAACTGTGCAAGCACTTTGATGCTTCCCCATAGTGTAAACTATCTTACGGGTCACAGGAACCTTTTGAGAATATGATGAAAGCTATGAATCTTGTTAAAAAAAAAAAAAAAAAAAAAAAAGCCTGTCTATGTGCTAATACGCTCCAACAAGAATGTATGCACAGCCAAAACTTACATATAACTTCTCGGGGATCATGTAGTCCCTGAATCCTTTACATGCGCCTCAGATTAAGATCCTCAGCTATGGAATATCTTTATCCTTCAATGCCAAGCAGACAAATATTCATGTTTGTGTTATAATAAGCTAAGACATAAATTCCACTAGCTTAACTCTTTATTGAAGGCAGATTACAAATGAAAATTAAAGGATGAAACTGGTGTATAGTTGAGGTTACTCTTCAGGATGGAAAAGCATATTGTTTGTAGTCTGTTCTTGATTATCTATATGAAACAATCATGGAAAATCAGCACCCCACCAAAAGAAATCATTTTAACAACATGAATTCAAAGAGAAACATCCTATAAGAAAAATTTCTACACCCACCTTGACTAGCCATTAATACCAAACACATCACAAGGAAAAAGAGGCTCATAATCAAATAAGCAAAATAATCAAAATACTTACACGATTTGATCTCTAACACGGTACCTTATTATGAGGGATTAAAGAAAGAAGATGCAAAGCAGATAGAATAATGGCTTAGGTAAAAGATTATTGAACACCATTAAAGGTAGAATTTAAAAAGCATCTCATATACTTCTCTATTTAAATATTAGTACCTATCTTTTCTCAACTAGCTTGGGAGCAACAATCATGTTTGTATCTTTTCTCACAGCCTCCACAACACGTTTGACTGAACTTAAAAATCAATGAGATCCACTTTCAGCATTCCCTTTTTTTGTCGGGATCTCTAACAGGTGTACCTATTGCATAGAAATCAGAGGTAATCTTCGTTTCAATTCTTTTTTTTTTTTTTTTTTTTTTTTTTTTTTTTTTTTTTTTTTTTTTTTTTTTTTTTTTTTTTTTTTTTTTTTTTTTTTTTTTTT